GTTATATTTAGTCCACCGTATGGCCAATGTGCTTGTGAGTTATGGCATATATGTTGTTGGGCTTTGCCAGTGCTTCTGAAATTTTCGTTTCCCGGCACATATGCCAAATTCAGTTTTTCACCAGGCTCCCTGTGTTCAATTCTTACAAGCACACTTCGGAATAGTGAATACATAAACAAAATAAAAGAAAGAGTTGGGGAAAAATAAATACCTATAACATGTATGTAGGTCACTAAGCGCCTTCTAGTTACTGCAAACATTAGTTACAAAAATTAGTTACTCAAGTGGGTTGCTTAAAAAATTTTAAGGTTGTAAGTGTTCATCCAGGGGAGAATAGATCATGCAATACGATTGGTTTCCACGACCGCTAGTCATAGTGAATTAAAAGTGGAAATAAAATTATGAAAATTTAATATTTCGCAACACCCCTGTGAGCAAGCTGCAGCAACCCATATTGAAAAATAGGGTTNTTGGGCACATTTTTTCGCATATGTTGGTCATACCATAGAGATGGCCCTCGCGTTTACTTCGACGCTGTATGGCGTGATTTTGTGACAAGTCTTTCTTACAGTTGCGCAGCGATGAGTGCAAAACTAGTGAATGCATTCTCAATTGTTCCGTGCAGCAACATTAGATTTGGACATACTTAATAGGATCTGAGTGGGCCTTTTAAAAAACTGAGAAAACAGCTTTACAATTTTTAATCATCACCCCCCCCTTTACAGCTTGTGTCAGTTATCAGACTGTTATATCATCTAATTTTAGAAATTTAATTTTTTTACCATCGGCTTAACTTGATCCAACTAGACACGTGATGCGAGTAGGCCTAATTTATTGTATATTGTATACATTATATATATTGTATGTTTATTTATATACTATTAAGATATTTTATTGTACAATGTTGAGACTTTATTGTACGATTTTAGGAGTTTGAGGGTTAACAGGTCTGTAGTCTACACAAAAGCAGATGTAACCTTACCAGTTTAGTTACAGCAAAATGTGAAATGTAAAAAAAAAAACCAAATGAGTCCATCTGTGTTGTATATTATTGATGAATTTCATATTCATCTACCAACAGGAAGATTTAAAGGTTCTGGCACTGAAATGTATACAAAAAATGTTGAAGCAGTTTCCCAAATGTTTTGTCAACTTTGAGGAGCTCACTATTATCAGAGTTTTGGAGCTGTGCAAAGATGACAGTCGCCATGGTGTAAGTATCCAATGTAATTGTCACACCATGTTTTATCTATTGGCTTACAGCTATCTTTAAAATTTGAGACTGACTTTGTTACAAAAATGTTACAAAAATTTCTTATTTCAAACAGATAGCTGGTTAAATGGTTCAAATTAAATTTTATCTTGGCTAAAAAATTTACAAATTTAATTATTTTATAAATCCCAATCAACATACTTAAAAAATTATGGAGTTAACTCTTAATTTTCGTGTCTAACATAATTAACCTTGTGCCATTAGCTTTTTACAATTTGAGCTATCTATATGTATGTAGAGCTGACCAATGTAGACACGATGAAAGCGTTTACTTTTCATTGTCCTGGTGTGTCATTTTATTTGCTCTTCTTCTTAATGAACTGCAACTATTATTTTTAATTTACTTTTTTTAAAGCCTAATTAGAAGAAAAGAAATGCACACTGCCTAAGAAAGTTTTAAGTTAAATCTTGATGAATTGCATGTTCAAAATTTGAAATTTAACCACTAGTTATTGAGACAGAACAATTATTCAGCTTTCACCTTACAAACAGTTGATCTTGTTTTGTATTAAAATATTTAACATTTCTTTGCAACAATTTGTCTTTACATTTTACCTACTGTATTATTTGAAATAAATGTACGTCTTTTTAAGAAAGTAATGATGTGGTGTGTAATGAAGACATCTTTTACTAAACAATGTTATATTTTATTTAGAATCCTCTCCTCTTCAGTTACTATACAAAAGGTTAGGTTTTCTTGAGCTTCTGTTGCTTTCATCATTCACAAGCTTTTCTTAGCAAGTACAAGTTCAATATTTCATCAGTTTACTCACCACATAAACAAACACTACCTACAAAAGCTTTCTGAAGTTTGTAATTATCTTTTAAAGCTATATTGGGGCTATTCCAATTTGTCAAGTTATAGATAAATTACTAAATAAACCGCATTAAGACTGCATTAAGACGCTGTCCGCTGATGATGATGCCGGGTTCAATGTAGGTCTTACTGGGAGCTGGATGATACATCACTTCAGTCTTCTTCGTGTTGATTGTGAGGCCAAATTGTTGCAGGCCTCATAGAAGATTTCAACGCTGTGTTGCATTTTGGCTTCTGAGGCATCATTGAGGGCACAATCCTCCAAAAACTGAACCTTGTTGATGGTGTTATGTTTGACATTGGTTTTAGATTGAAGCCTCCTAAGGTTGAAGACTGATCCATCCGTGCGAAAATGGATTGGCAAGCCTGTGGTGAAGTCCTTGAACACAGACAGCATTGCAGAATACATAATACTGGAGAGTGTTGGAGCCAGGACACAGCGTTTGTGACAGGGAATGCTTGAGATGTCTGACCGTTGTCCTGCACTCGGGCCATCAAGCCATCATGCAGCTGACGGATGATGTCGGTGAACTTGTCTCGGCATCCGTACTTCTTCATGATTTTCCACAGGCCACCTCTATTTACCATGTAAAAAGCCTTACTCATTGTGAATGTACGGGGCAGAGATAAGTCTTTCTAGGTCATGGAATCAGAGGTGCAATGTATGGGAATGTTGACAATTAAGATTAGTGTGAACTCTTTCATGTCCAGGACTGGGTTAGATTCTTCTGTGGGGCTTTTTGCCGGATAACATGTTCTGCTGGATGTAATTAGGTAGCAACTTCGTTGTGTACTAAGTGGATGTTTAGTACATTGAAACAAAAGCATAGTGTACAATGAACTATTCAGTATTTGAATTAAGTGAAATAAACTTACATTATATAAAATACACTAGGTAGTGTTGTGACCTAGTGAGAAACAAACTAGTCTGACTTGAGGTCAGATGGAATATTTGCCATTATTAGACAACGGAATATTTGACATGGTCACAGAGATCCCCTATATGGGTGGATAGCACTGTTAATGAATTGTGTTTGAAGAGGAGAAGAAAAATGATAGGCTTCCAGTCCAGTTTCAGCAAAGAAAAATGTTGTGTTCTCAAGCACTTGCTTGATTCTGAAATTTGTTCCTGAGATGGTATATTATTTTATTTTACTGAAAACTCTATATTTTTTAAATACATTTCTTTGTTGCAGTTCTTATCAAGATTTTTTATTTTTAACCTGTGGAAAAGGAAATAAATGGTGTTAACAAAATTTGTTAAAATATTAATGGAAATTCCTTATCTGTGCTTCTGAGAATAGTGTGTGCATTAGAAGCCTCTTTATAAATTGTATATGTAAACTTCGTGCTGGTTTCAGAATAGTCATTGTTATCACTACTTTTAGTCTTCCTAGATTACTTTTTTAAAAACAAAACAATTATATATTTTAATTTTATTTTAAATAAACCAAAAAACAAAACAAAACCTCTCGAAACTAGTTTTTTTAGGCTGGTTGTAGTGCTTAAACAGGTCATTACTATGGTGAAAGCTTAGCAGAAAACAGGTCTGTTATAATTACTAAGTCAACTTATGTTAGGTGGCTGTGGAAAATCTCAATGACATAGAATTTTCTCCCAACATAAACGAACTTACTTGTTTTTGTAGCCAAGAAAATATGCCAAACATCCAGCTCTGACAAATTTGCGTCATAAAGAAAATGGGTTATTTTTATTTTTTAAGATGGAAATGTTTCATGGTATTTAGCACTATCAGGATTTTTTGAATCTTTGTGAGTACAGAAAAAAAAACAACATTTGTATAGGGACCCTTTAAAAGCAATTCATCGGGATGGTAAACAATTTTGATAATCTTTTCCTTGAGATCACTAAATATATTAATAAATATACACAGGGCCAGGAAGAGGCAACTGAGTAATTCACTCAGGGCCCCACTCACAGGGGGGAAATAAATACGTTTTGATACATATATTTTTAAATTTGTGGGTGGCCAAAAAATTGGATTTCCTCTGGGTCCAAACATCCTCAGCCCAGATAACTAAAGTAGTGCTGAAAAAGTATGTGTTCTCCAATTATATATATATGATTCTACTGCCACTGTAGCAAACATGAATGGAACCATGAAAGCCAACTTTGCAATCAACTTGTTTTGGTCCTTACTTCTTTTTGTTTCCTTATCAAATAAAATTATTTTAGTGTAGCCCTATTTTAAATATATATTTAAACCTCTGGTTAACATTTTAGTTAGCTAACATGTGTGTTCCCATTTCAGTATGTTTATCTTGAGTTAAGAATGTATGGGAACATTGAAAGACACTAAGCTTAGGCAGGAACAGAAATTACCTTAGTTTATGGGGCCCAGACTGGTGTTCTGTGGGGGAAAAAATCTCTTGAATTATAGCTTATGTGGGCTAAATATATATATATATATATAATAATAATAAATAAATAATAGTGTATTTCAAAAACACGCTTCATCCCCAAAGGCTCGAAGCGCGGTACAAGAGTAAAAAATCTATAATTTACCACATTTAAAACAAACGCAACACTACAAAAACTATACTATATATATATATAAATAAAATATTTGTTAATGCTTCATCACATGTGCAGACCTGTTTACCCTCAAACTCTTAAAATCGTACAACATCATCACAAAATCGTTCAAAATGTTATATTTATAGTAAAATAAACATACAGCATATATAATGTATACACCTCAAAATCGTACATTGTACGCCAAAATCGTAAGAGTAAACAGGTCTGCATGTGTATATTAAAAAAAAAAATATTTACATGTGTGTGAGTGTGTGTATGTATGTATGTATGTATGTAAGCTTCTACTGGTACTTTAAATTTAAACTATATTTTAAATGCCCAACCAATGATCTGTTGATATTTTTCTTGGCAGTGTTTCGCCTCAGTAATTGTGTTGACTTGGCTCACAAAACAGTAGAGGCCCTCACCACGCCGAATGTTGACCTCAGGATTTTAACTTTTGTTTCACAAGCAACGAAAGCCCTCTGGCTTCTCATTGACCGCATGCTGTGGTTTGGAAAAGTGGGCATCATCAAAGTATGTTCCTTAGACACATAGTAATGTTTTGGTTTTTTCCCTCTACACTGCTCAAGTTCACAAACTTCATACACTAGGTTTGGTGTTCATCAGAAATCATATATTGAAAGTAGTGAATTTTATTAATCTGAATGAGTTGTTGCATTTTAGGTCAACAGACCTTGATCATTTTCATATTAAAATCTTTAATAATTTTCTACCTAGCACTAAGTAGAAATTGTCCCTAGATCCCTACATGTGGTAGCTCTTCTTTTTGCATATTAATGTAATTATATGAGATTGGATGAAGCATTAATTTATTATTTTGTGAATGAAAAAAATTAAGTTCTCATTAGCATGTTATGTGCAACATTTTGATAGCATTACATCTTCCAACACACAGGACATGCTTACAGGCAAGCCAAATACAAATTGTTAAAATACCACCTCATCTTTTCTGTATAGATATAATTTTAAGATTAAAAATTTTGTTGTCAAATTAATAAATGTAGAGATTTTCAACACATCTTGTACTTTAAAAAAAAATCTAGATTGACCAGATGTTTTGGACGTCATGGTCCCTGAGTGCGTGGCTTGTTGCCCTGGCAACCGCCAGCATTGCTGACATGATTAAACTTCAAAATGTTCAGAACAAACTGCATCTGTTTCTGAAACAAAATGGAAAACAAGCCAAGATCTCTGACAAGCTTCAGGTTTGTGATTAGACTGGAGTGATTCTCCCCTTGAATAGTTCTATGTGTTACTGTTACATTATTGCATGTTGAAGATTTTTATTATTTATTATTTTATTTGTATTTAATTTTATGTTGAAGGCTTGGACTGTTTTAACATGCATGGGCTCTTTTATAAATTGGTCATATTGTGTCGTGGTATTTAACTGAATTTTTTCACTAAGGTTAAAAGAAATAAAAGACATGTTTGATCACGCCTAACACCAAATCTTTGGTAGGAGAAACAGAAACTTCACCAAATAAAAACAACTCATGCCAAAAAAATCTAAAGAATGTGAAATAAGAATAACTTAAGTCACTCATGGTACACTATAAATGTGTTTATTTACGGTTTCTATGGAGATTGCCATAAAGGGTTGTCCTAGTTTAATTTATAAGCTCTGTATTGCTGTCACTCAATGAGCATATCACAGTCACTGTATCATGATAATAATAATGTTCTGTGTTGAAGCTTATCTGGCAGTTTTATTGAGGCACTTGGGTTGGTGGAAAACAACTAGGGCATATCCCATTGGTCTTCACCAAATACTTTATGGGCTCTTGTGTATAGTCATCCAGAAAATGTATTGCCAAAATGTAAATGTGTATTTAGGGTCCTAAATTTCTGTCACTTCCGTATCATTAGACTGGAATTGCTTTTAAAAAAAAAGAACAATGTTACTTTTGACAGATATCTTTAATTGTATTTAAACTTGCTTTTCTCAGATTGAAATGCACTCAGTGAGAATGAACTTCTGGCCAGAGTTTTGTGACCTTTTTATACCCCTCGGCGGATTGAGTTATGTTAGTCCAGGATTTTCCGCCTTAACAGGTGTCATCTCTTCCGTCATTGGATTTCAACAAGAGTGGGAAAAACATATCAGCCCATTCAAGCCTCAGTTATAGCCCTCCAAAAAGTGAAACCAATGTGTCCAATGGTTAGAATGACTTTCCGTTTGCAATTTAAAAGGTTTTTTAAAGATGTACTTTAACTCTACAGTATATTATGATTAATTCCCTAATTACTATTACTTGTTATTTTCTTGTAATTTTATTTATATTATTTTTGTTTGCCTTTTGATAACTTCGATGCTATCAGCTGTGATTTTGAAAAAAACAACATATTTTTAAAGAATACACATACTTATTTTTTTTCCTTCAATGGCAACAAATCATATTCATTTTTTTTAATTTTGATTTTTTCTTTGATTTAATTAGTAATACATTTTTTTAGAAGTTTACTACAACGAAATAATCTTGGTTTTCTCCATAAAGAGTAATCTTTATCTATAATTAATCATATCCAATAAAGTTAATTTACTTCAAGCTTTAATAACAAAGTCAATCACCTTATTTATTTAAAATGGATCAGTTATATAATTTAAATGACTGTGAACCATATTCACCGTTTTATACACTTATGACAGCTGAAGTTAAATCAAACTGATCCCTTACAAAACATTTTGTTTTACACTTTGTTTAGGATGGCAGTATCATTTTTTTAAGAACATGTACTAATTTTTTCAAGATAATACCATTTAAATAAACAACACCACTAGTATTCTCATGGTAACTGCCATATTGGCGACACTATTATTTCATTAAGTGGGGGGGGGGGGCTTTTTGTGACTTTTAAAAGAATTTATTTAACCCATTTAATTCTCTTATCAAAGTTGTTTTGTTCTCATTTTTTAAGAACATGTACTAATTTTTTCAAGATAATACCATTTAAATAAACAACACCACTAGTATTCTCATGGTAACTGCCATATTGGCGACACTATTATTTCATTAAGTGGGGGGGGGGGCTTTTTGTGACTTTTAAAAGAATTTATTTAACCCCTTTAATTCTCTTATCAAAGTTGTTTTGTTCTCATTCCAAGCTACTTTTTAAAAGTGGCATTTCCTTCATGCCATTTTTTTACTTACTTAGCCGTCCCTGATATAGAAAACTGTGTTGTCTTTTTGTTGTTCAATTATTTGCTGTCGTGTTGTAGAGCCTATACCACCAGTGTTTCATAAAAAAAAATTTTGTTTCCCCCCCAATTTATCTGTTGACATTGAAAAATTATTCACTGGAAGTGCCATGGCAAGTCACAGCAGCATTATCTCATTAAAATTAATTTTTAACTGCCCATTTGTTTACCAGTGTAGTGTAACATTGTGGGAGAATGTGTTTATACCTATTGGTTTGGTTTTAGCTAATATGTACATTCAGGAACGTTGAGAAATACAATCTGGCCAATAATTGATGTATACTTACATTTATTAGAAATGGGGGATGCAAAATGGATGTCTCTATTTACTATTTTTGTTTTCTGTTTTGGTGCAGGCATGCCATATTTTAAGTAACTTAATAGAGAGGGGCAAATTATTTTTCAATTTTTTTTTAATCATTTTTTTTTTTTTACTTTGAAGATTGACTTAACATAACTGTTAGTAAGACATTTGCAAAGTTTTCTTTTGATTCCGTTTTTGAAATGATTTATCTCCTTTTTTTAAAAAAAAATCTCAGGAGACCTCCGTTGTACTGTGGTTGAAAAGTTGAGAAAGCTGAATTCGTATGTTTCGCTTGTGTCAAGTATGGCTTCTAGTATTGATATGTTGTCCATGCATCTGAAATGTCTATTCTATTTTATTCTACTTTATGCTGTGTTGTCTGTATTGTTACCAATTACATTTATGTAGTACCCTTTGATACTTATTAATAGTGGGTAATGTGAAAGACAGGGCTATGACGTGTTAACACAAGCAAAGTGAGTAATCCACGATCGCGCCTGAATTTTGTTAAATACTGAGTCCTAGTAGAACATAGACCTGTATTATGATGGTATTTCAATTGAATTTTTTTTTCTGCATTTAACATTTTTCATAATTTTTATGTGACGCGGATAAACACATTTTAATGTGACAGGGATAAACATTTTAATGTGACAGGGATAATGAAGCATCACCATCTGATGCCGACAGTCCTGTCTATTAAAAAAATTTTTTTCCCAACTGCCGATTTTGAAATTTGTTATATTTATATTATATTTATACTTAAGACCAAAAAAAAATGATGGGTCCAGTTAAATGATGAAAAGTTATGTCTCATATTTACAATGTATTCTTTTTGCTGTGGCAGTTTCTTCTTAACATTTAACAGAGCTTTGCAGAAATCAGTTTGTTTAAAACCCACTCCTATTTTGTTTTTATCTGTTCCTTTACTTTTTATTTCATTTAGTTATTTTAATAAATTTCAGCCCATGAGAAGCCACTGAAATATAACATAAGGAATTTAAAAAAAGCAAAACAAATTTGTTGATGGTTTGCAGAAACTGATTATTTGCTTTGCTGAAATCCACCTCTTGTATATCACTGGTGCATGGTGGCTGAATGATGTCACATTTTATTTAAAAAGAATTTTGTTATAAACTTCAAACTCAATTATAACAAAGTTGCATTCTTTTCTTTTTCCATTTACTTCTTTGATTTAGATGTATTAGGTTTTTTTTAATGACCATTTTTATAATGTGCTGACATTTTCAATATACACGTCCAGAGAGAAAGGTTGTGTTAAATCCTCTCTAATGGATCATATGACGGATAGAAACATCCTGATACATCACTCACATTTGTTTCTTTTTTAATATCAAGCATTTCTATTTAGATCATTTAGTGAAGTTAACCATTAGCTAAGATAAATTAGTTAGATGGTTCCAGATGAGGCACTAGCCTATGGAAAACCTAGCTGTTTCAGAAAAAATACTAAACACTCCTAGGCTATGTAGGCATAACAACTATTTAATAACTGTTGTTAGAAAAATACTTTCTTATCAACATTTTTTTCAGTTGTGACTACTTCATAAAACATGACTTCAGATTGAAATAAAAAGTATTTTAAGTCTAATTCAAAAGTTTGAGTTATATTTTTTCTTTAAATAGTCTTAATACATTTTGTAATGAGAAAAAATGTGCCTATTACCATATTGAATATTGGGATTTAGACTGAAATTTTTATGTTTGAGAAAAACAGAAGAACTTTTATATGCAAAGCTGTTTCAAATATCCCTATGGCATAGACATTTAAAAAAAAATTAATATGGGATCTCAGGAGCAAAATTGCATTACTAATTCCAAGTTGAGTGTAAGAATTCAGCTGTTTTATCTGAAAGCTTTCACTCCTATTTATTTTATCAAAAAAATATTGAGAATTTCTGTTACAGTTTCTTCAGATTTAAACATAAAAGCAATGCAATGGGAAGCAGAAATATAGTTTCATAATATTTATTTACAAAATTAATAAATGCATAAGATTTACTGAAATAGTTACAAAATAGTTTTTTCAAATCTTGGATATTTCCTTCTTTTGTTTTCATACTTAAGTGGTGGAACGATAATAAATTCTTTAAAATTAAAATAAAAGCAAAATATTCCCTGCAGAATCAGAGAGATAAGTCATACTTTTATATCAGTAATACTAAAATGTTAAGAACATCAAAATCCCCACAGAAAGACATTTAATCTCTTAAATTTAATGAACAATTAATTGGTATTGAAATGTATGGAATAGATATAAATTGTTAGTTTTAAAGCAGTTATAAAAAAAAAGAAAGAGAAAATAAAAAAAAAATTCTTTGGGCACAGGCACATTATAATTTTAATAATTCTAACAATATATACAGGATTTGTTTCACAAATTTCATTATTTATTTTCTTAAAAACATCATTTCTTTATTTGATGAGATGACTTATCCAGGTTACTCACAACCATGGCACAAAACATGATATGCAGAGCTCTAGTTACATGATGTCAAATGTCTTAAGTCAAGGTTGATGGACTAGCCAGGTCTTGACACTTGTACATTTACTTATGGCATTCTGTAAAAACAAGCTTTACATTTTCTAAGGGACACAACTGTGCAGCTTTCCCTGGTAGGAATGTTCATTTTTTTCATTGTTTTTTTGTTGTTGATACAATTCATTTGAATCTCTAGCCTCTGGTGAATGTTTTTGCAAGGCCTTTAACTTGCCCACTTCACCTTTATTCTTTATAAACTGACTCCTGTGAAGTCAATCACGCATCTATTTTGTGTTTAATTCTGATAGCTGAAATAAAACAAAATCACTCACTTGTTTGGCATTACCATTAATACCGGGTATGGAAAAATTGTAGTTCACAATATCTGAGCATTTACATTTCAGAGAGTGTGTTTTGGGGCTGCTTATACCTTTTGACATATTTCAAGGTCACAGAATTTTCAACAACAAAAAAAAAGGGGGGGGGGGAGTGAAGAGTTCATACAGGGCTTTATATTTTCTTTATAGAAAAGTTATCTCACAACTCTAAATAAAGCATGGGAAATTCATGGCATAATGAGATCCACATTGGTTACTTTAAGCAATATAAATATATAAGTATAAGATTTTAAATACCTTAGGTTAACTTCTTAAAAATGCGACAGAGTTTGCTTTGTGAAGAAATGTTAAGAAAAGCTGTGTGTGTGTGTGTGTGTGTGGATTTTAGTTTTTAAATAAGATGATATACTCATGTTAAGAAAGACAACACAAAGAGATTGCCATGCTCTGGTTTGATAAATTTGTCTTTACATCAATCTGATCAAGTGTCAATACAGTCTGTTAGAAACATCAAATGTCAATCAGTAGTTTGTTTTGATATTATCAATCTTCTCTAAAAAAAAAAATAGAAAAAAAAAAGAAAAAAAAAAAAAAGTTAAACTAAATGAAAAAAAAAAACAAAAAA